TTTAAAATATCAGCATAAAGCTGGTGAGTTCATAAGCGTATTTTGTTAAGGAAAAATCGTGTATTTAATTCAGTGATAAATAATTCATTTCCTTTTGTAAAGATTTACTGTGATATCGAAAAGCCATCGTTACTGAGTTATGAAATACATAGGCATGTTTTTCCCAGAAAATCCCATATTTTCTAACATGTAAGTTGATTTGAATAAGATATGAAAACCATAAGTTATGACCCTGGAATTACCATCCAGTACGAAAGTAGGTAGTTTTAATACCTAAAACTATAAGTTTAGAACCCTGGAATACCATCCAGTACGAAAGTAGGTAGTTTTAATACATAAAACTATAAGTTTAGAACCTTGGAGTACCATCCAGTACGAAAGTAGGTAGTTTTAATACATAAAACTATAGTTGAAATAAAGCAAGAAAATCCGTGACCAAATTGGTTTGTTTAATACATATTGTGAGCCGTATAACCATACTGATATGACCCGTGACCTCCTTGACGGTCTTCAGGCGTCCTTCGATTTCCAAAATTTGTCACCCCAGGCGTGCCCGCCTAACTGTAGCTAGCAGTTTAGGTGTGGGATTGTCAGTCCCGAATAGATCTATCCACAAATTTCACGTTCTCCCTCCAGGAGACTCTGGTTATACTTCCGGAGAGGATTTATTGGTATCCCGAAGGATATAATGAAGACGAGTCTCACAAGCTAGTATTTACTATTTTACGGATGATTCAATCGTTTCGAGTTTCGAATTTGTTTAGAACATAGTAGAGTATAAATAATTAAATACAACATAAATATTTAGCATAATACTCTAGATTAGGCATGGATAAACTAAATCAGACATAGTTTATATTTTTGACTTTGCATGAAATCGAATTCGTATGACATGTGATAAAGATCCCAAATTATTCCCATAATAATTTGCACAGTTTGGTGAGTTTTTTTTTTCCCTTTAGATTCGAAAGGTTTGATAAGTTCCATACAGTTTTAGGAAAACTATGTAATTATATTTAGAAAGTATCCCTTATGCTCTGCATATATTACAAGAGGGGTAAAGTATCATAAGTTCATCGGAGAATCGTATAATTACATCAGTTTTTAAGTTATGGAAACCTTTATGATTTTGCTTGTATTCCCCCCCTGAAAACATGAAAAAAACGTGGAAAAAGGTGTAGGGGTATGAACTCACCTGACGAGAATGTGCTGAGTAGGATGCTAGAAGACAACTTAGGACTTGAACATACGCAAGGGTCCTAAGTAGCGTGAGGTGATACACAATTGTATCCAATTAGTTATTATACTACTAATTAAACAAGTAGACACACTCAATGCAAGAAAACACTTGATTCCAAGTGTTAGGAATGATACGGGTTGCATTTAAGGAGTGTATGACCTAGTTAGGAGGGTTTACTCTTCAAGTGTAAACCCTTGGGGGAGTTTACGGTTTCTAGACCACATACCCCATGAGTTTACGGCCGTAAACTCATGGGTGTGGTGATTTGAGTGACCCAAGGCCTTATCTTGCATATAGGAAGGATCTAGGGTCGATTCGAGGGCTTAGGAAGTGATCGGGACATGAAATGACCTAGGAATTAGGGTTTACGGTTCTTGGACCACCCTTGGGGAGTTTAAGGTCGTAAACACATGGGTTTACGGCCGTAAACCCATCCTTGTCCATGATTGTCCATTTTCCAAGTGTTTTGGTGGTTTGTAGGCCATTCATGCAAGTTCTAGACTCATATACAAGCCATGCAAGGTGTTTAGGGCATTAAAACGCCCTTTGTAGGTGTTTACGGTTTTGGGAGATGTTCCCAAACCGTAAACTCATGTTTACACTTCTTTGGACATGTTTTAGGGTTCTAAGATCATTCAAGCAAGTTTCAAGGCCATTAGACATGCATTGGAGGGGTTAAGGGGCATCAAAACCCCATTGAAGGGTGTTTACGGTTCTTCAACATTCAAGAACCGTAAACTCATGTTCATACACCAAAAGACATGATTTTGAGGTTCAAACTCCATGCATGTAAGTATCTAAGCATTAGAAGAGGTTTGGAAGGGTTTTGGGGCTTCAAAACCCCCCATTGAGGGAGTTTACGGTTTTGAGAGGCTCCCCAAACCGTAAACACATACTTTTTGATGCATTTGAGAGTTTAAGACATGGATTTGCATGCATGTTAGGATAAACAACTAGCTAGGAAGGATCACTTACTAATTTGGAGCTTGAAAGTGAAAATTCTTGAGAGGTTTCGATTTCTAGAGAGAGAGAGAGTAGAGAGAGAAAGTTCAAGTGTGGAAAAAGCTCAAATGGTGGTCACCCCACCTTTTTATAGGTCCTGCGGGAGTGGCCAGGTGGGGATACACCCAATCCCGACATTAAACGGAGCTTAATATTTTACCCGTATTAGTCGTAGTCTAGAAATTCTCAAAAGATTATTTAGAGTGTTTTCACTCAATTAATATTTCGTTTTGACACATAGGAAATTATAATAATAATTCTAATTGAATTATTTAATTTGAAAGTTAATTGAAAGGCCCAAAATAAAATAAATTTTATTAACGGAATGGGTTACGTTAACGGAATATCTTTCGGGTTGTCACAAAATGTTACCTTGTGTTCAACTTGAGAAGCTTCAGAAGGTGAGAAACCCTTGAATGTGTTTAATTTATCATCGATTTCATGGATACCAGGCGCTTCTTCCCTTTATTCTGCTCTTGTTCTTCTGTCACTTGGTTCTAGCAAATAGAGATGAAAGTTAGTTCTCTGGCTAACCGGGGAAGTTTCAGCAGGAACACCAAGCTCAAGTGACTTCTCCAATACCTTAATCGGACCTGGGACACGTAAAATTGAATAGTCTCCAACGATGGCAGGAGAGCCCAAGCTCGTCGGCGATGCGAAGTCAGCCGGAAGAGAAGGAACCTAACGTCGTCAAAGGGGACGTTGTCTGCAAGGCGAGTCGACGATCTATTGTAGAGAGTGTATTGAGTGATGATCAGTGAGTTTTTTTATCTTTGTTGAAAAGCCCTAGATATTTTAGCAGATACCTCAATTTTTGAAACAAGAGCGCGTCTCATTAAAATTAAAAGGCGACGGTTATAGAGGACGCAAGTTTCATGTAAAGCGCCCTCCGTGTTTTTGATTTTTTTCTTTAAGACACTAATATAAGGGCATGCAATAATGCCTGACCTAAATGCTTAAAATTTTTGAAGAGAGGACACCATTTTAAGGTCACACCCTTTTGCGTAACATAAATCAGTGAGTGTCGTGGATTGCGCGTCGTAAAAGGCTATTTTTCTAGTAGTGATTGTTTTAAATTCATCGATAAGATCGTTGAAAGGCAAATGTGAAAACTAGATATATTTTTTACTTGAATTGCAAAAGTTATAAATACAAAAATTAATTTTGATGTCTAGATGAATACTCAACCAAGTAGCATAGTCATAATGGAAATCCCACTTGACCAAGTGGACAAGCCTAATGACCAAATTCATGAGTATAACCCTTAATTCTTCCTAAGCAAATAAAAAACATTTCTAGCCTTAAACCTTTCAACTCCAATGACTTAGTATGATTAAATACCATTAAGATACTTATTAAACACATCAAATATCATCTAACCCCATCATTTAATCGATGATTCACAAGCTGAATATAGAGATTTTGAGAATTAGAGTTCAAATCATCAACATGAGTTCATATGTCCCACTTTAATGCTTAATCAATCAAAATATGTTTAGGCCTTCAAATTTTTCTTCATTTGATAACTCCAAGTTATTTTTGTGACATATATTGCTTTTCCAACTAAACCCATCCATATGAAAACAAAACCATATATAAATTCAACAAATGAACTTATAATTTCTATACTTGTTGTATTCACTAAAATGACCTAAATGAAGTTATTGAATCATACATTTAAATTATAGATCACACAATGAGATTAGAGAATACATTTCAATGCTAGAAGAAGTCTTAATTCATGGTCTAGAGTGTCAAATCACAATTTCATCAACCTAGGGTTCTTAAAATCCAAAATTTACAAATACAGTTGAAATCAAGCATTCTAAAAGCAAGATGATGATAGATTGATGTGCTATTGATTAAAATTAAGCTAGAAACTCATTAAAATATCTAAATCATCAAAGGATTTCAGAATTGGGGAAATCCTAAAACCCTAACTCGAAACCTAGAAGAAAATAGCTAGGATTCATATCTTCAATTGCTTCTAAGTGATAATCCTAGCTAAAATTCTTCAAATGCACCACAAAATCACTTCCAACCTTTCTTCTAGAATGAAATAGCCATTCTCTTCCTCCCAAAACTCTAAAGATAGATTTCGATTCCAAATGGTTAAAAGAAGAAGGATTATATATGTTCCATCTTCGCTCACTTAACACAAATAACCCCTCAACTTCAGATTCTTCTAAATTGACCACTAATCACATCTGGTAACTATTTAATCTTTTAGTTTTTAATTTAATATAACATCCGCAAAATAGGCCTAGAAGGTTTTCCCCTTTTAGGAAAAATAAAGTTTTTATTAAAATTAAATAAAATAAGTAATTAAAATTAAAAAAATAAAATATCTTTACTATATTATTAAGGATATTGCCCATTTCTTGAAAATTAAGAGGTACAATACTTATTACCTCATGTACAATAATATTAAGCTTATAATCACATTGTATAGCTATACACGGTATTAGGTATTAGATGGTATCCTAATCTTCTCTCTACACACAACAGCCGCCATCACAAAATCGAAACCCTATTCTTTCCGTCTCCTTCCTACACACAACACTACTCACCAAATCAAAGCCACCTGAGACGGACCCTAAAACTTCAATCAAGATTCTGGGTTCTTGCAATGGATTAGTATGTTTAATCGATGGCACACGTGACATAATCATCTACAACCCATCAACCAGAAGACATTTCAAGCCATTTCAATCACCTCAACAAGTTCTTCATTGCTCAAACCGGATCGAATTCGTGTATGGATTTGGGTGTACATCAAAAAACCCTAATCGACCGAGCATATGGTGGCGAGCGTCCACCGCTACCTCCTTTGCGCAAATACCTGATCCACGTCACCTGCCAAGCTTTCGCCTATGTCGTCGGAGTAGCCGGATGGGCCAACAGCGAATCTGTCGGAATCGAACCATTCAGGTATGCAAAAATCGATCACATTTCTCATAATTTCTTGTCGATCTTCTGTAAAATTGAAACTGATGTTAACGATTTTAAAGCAAGACATTTGCGTTTACCAGATTGATTACACATCTTAAGCCGATAGCCTTGTAGGCTAAAGATCCACAAGAAGGGCTGGCATAAATATTCGTTACATTGTTTGTTATTTCTGTACTCATCAAATTAATAAATGTTTTTCTTTCTTTCTTTGTTTGTTGAAACCATAGGAGTACATTCGTGGAACAAGGTGCCCCTTTCTCTTGGCACCCATTTCGTCATTGTCTTCTTCTGCACGAACCCCTCTCTCTCCTCTGAAACTTCTCCATCACTCTTGCTTCTCAAACACACTTATTTAGGGTTTGTCTTTCATTAAAATCATCACTGCAAAAAGTAGCAGGAGCTTAAGAACACGAGAATGAGTGTTTCAAAGTTCATAAAATTGTCTCTGTTGGTGATGGAGCTGTTGGCAAGACTTGTATGCTCATTTGTTACACAAGCAGCAAGTTCCACACTGTAAATCTTTCTTTCTCTGTATATACATACATATACATTTTCATGTAATTTCTTGGAAAAACCCACTTTATTTCAAATTCTTTAGCTGTTAGCCTTCTTATTTGTAGGATTATCTTCTGAATTTGTTCTTCTGAGTAACCTTAACCTAATTTCAGATTCTTTAGATGTTCATTTAGTTCCCTTCTTCTAAATTAGACCTTCTTTTACAACTTCCACTTCACAAATTACAAGTCACCACAACATATTTGTACCTAAGTTTTTGCTAAGTATAATCTGTGGGTTTGATCATTTGGTTAATTTCAGTGCTAATGTGGCTGTGGATGGAAATATGGTAAACTTAGGATTATGGGATACTGCTGGTATTTTCTTTAAAATCCAATATTCAATGAGTGCATTGTACAGAATTTGTTACAGGATATTTTGGGTAATTAATAATTATTTTCATGTGATTTATCAGTAATGTTAGTGGTGTTGTGAAGGTTCCGGAAGGATATTGTTGGGTAGAAGGTGACAAATCAGCTTCTAGCTTTGATTCAAGATCATTTGGCCCCATATGTTACCTTTATATTTGATTAATTTAGATACCATTTTGAAATTTAACATTTGTGGTTATATAGGATTCTTTCCATCAATCTTGTTGTCTGCCACAATAAGTCCGATAACTAGAATTGTTTTAAAGGTAACTCTTTTGACAACCATTAGTATGGAGTTTTTATATACATCATATTGATATCGAGATTCTTTTTATGTAGATCTGGTCTTAACTCTAGACTTTGTATGGAAAGATCGCTGGCATGGTGCTGCACATAAGTTAGTGGATTCTTGTTGAGGTTCTTTTTTAATGTTTATGTTGATTATAATCTGCCATTTTATAATTCAATGGTAGTAAAAAGTCCACTGTATTAGTGCGAAATCTCTTATGAAAAAAATAAAATCATGCAGGATTCAGAGAATGATCATATCTACCACTCGGAACTTTTTACATTGACAAAACGAGCAGCAAAAGGTGAACCACAGAAGCTTTCCTTCACTGTGCCAATTTTTGAACCACATCCTCCTCAATACTACATTCATGTTGTTTCTGATTCTTGGTTGCAATCTGAGGCTTTCTATACTATCTCTTTTAAGAATCTAGCCCTACCGGAGGTGATTTTAGTAAATTAACATTCAGAAATGTTTGTGATTGTCGATTCTTGTTTTAAAGTTAAATTTGGTATTTCTTTTTTTTTCTTTTATTCAGAGCCATACGGCACACACTGAACTTCTAGATCTGAAGCCACTTCCTGTGACAGTTAGTTCTCAGCTTCTAGTATGGTATCATCAATCATATTCATTGATAAAAGTTGTTGTTGAATGAATTTGTAATTATGTATTAGGAAAATGGGTTTTCGTTGGAGGAGGATTTGGATGCTCCTCCTGGGCAGCGTTATAAAATGAAAGTCGTCCCCACCAGTAAGAACATAACTTTTGGTGTTGCAGGTAATACATGACACACTTAGTTTCATCTCTTCAACTAATCATATTATATTTTTATCCCCTCATATGATTTATGATATATGATATATATGATGATTATTTTCTAGTGTAGATCCGGTTATGAATTACTAATGTTGGAACTTCAATTGTTGGTGTTTGTTTTTCGTTCTGGGAGAGCCTCTGAGGCTCGATATCAAGGTACTTTTAGTTACTTCAATTTCGTGTTGATATTATTGCAAAACATTTGTTCGATAATGATAAGTACTTATTTTTTGTGCAGAGGAAGCTTGCTCAAAGATCAGAAAGAGTAAAATCGGTGGAACTGTATCCTACGGAACCATGGTAATGATTCACATGTCATATAGTAGTATACCAGTATGTATGTTAGTAACTGTTTTTCTTCTTGTTCTGAAATTGGCTGACATTGCTCCTCTTGGTTATGGCTTCTGTATTTTAATAGCTTAACTTTGAGCCTCAATGTGAATTTGTGATGAAGTGGTTATATGTTTATTTAGGCGGATAAGTTTAAAAATAAAGTCAATTTATTATTTTTATTATTTTAATTTTTATTATATAAATTGAAAAAGTATATAAATTGAAAAAATAAAATTAACAAACTTAACCGATCGTTGTCACAAAGAAATTTAAAGATTATTTTTCTAGAACGAAATATGTAAAATTAATCATGCCTTTTGCTAATCAATAATCATGATGATACTTTTTGTTTTTTTAATGTAAAATATTTATATATCATCCCTTTAGATTCTCCGGTTGATCTGCTTCTTCACTGGGTAATGTAGTTCCATTGTGTACTATATATTTGTTTTTCCAGCCATTGACCATATATAGCAATTCAAATTGCTTCTGTGAAACAGTTGATCCCTGAAACTACTGATGAACTGTGCATACAGTACCTAGGTTTTTTCATCACTTTTAGAATATGATTTAGCTTATTATGTTAAAATAATGTCCTTTTGTGGATTCTTGTTTCTGATTAATGGATTGGCTTTGTGAAGGGCTTGAAAGGGAAGTTTGTCAACTTGCTATATTTGGGTAGTTGCATGCTTTACTTCGTATCAATTTGTTTTGAAATATTTAATCACGCTTTTTGCTAATAATTTTCTTATCAATTTGTTTTGAAATATGTAAAAGTTACACTCATTTTATGTGGAAGCACAAAAAGGTTTCTATGTTAACTTATGAATTCACACAAAATTATCAAATAGATATTATATTTATAGGTGATAAATTTATTACCTTCCACTCATAATAAATGAATATAAATATAACATATATTTTCATAAACCGAAAATCATGTATAGCTAAACATAAATAAAACACTTAATGAGATCTCATAACTAGATACTTGTGAATCATGACCTAAAGTACTATCTACACAAAGCCTTAAATATATATTCTTATTGATCATCGATAGTGGCGAGTATATTTTCGTACATAAAATTTTTCTATACTAATTCAAAGATTTTTTTTAGAATCATGAACGGTCACATTTACGTTGATGCATTTTCATTGCTATTAAACTTCCATTTGTAGTATTTTTGACACCTGTTCGTGTGGATTTCATTTGAAGAGACGGAAGAGGAAACAAACTCTTCATTGTTCTCATTTATCAAAATGTATGTTTAAAAAACTAATCATCACATTACTATATTCCGAAAGAAATTCTTTGCCGCCCGACGCTTAGCGCGGGTAAACGGCTAGTATAATAAATATGTTGATAGAAATATATTAGACGTTTAATAGAGTCAAATTAAGGAAATTATGTTATAGGGACCAAGGTTGCCAATTTCGTGAAATTTTATAGATTTGACTCTTATTCACCAAATAGGACTTGAATGGTATATATTATGTGGAGATGGATTAATTATATAAATATAAAGTAATTAGTAAGTTAGAGCATCTCCAATGGTGGGTTTTTTTATAGCTTATTATTATTTGTTTAAGTGGTCAAAATAATTAAACACCATTGGGGTGCATGACTTATTTGTTTATTTTTATAGACCACTCAATATATATTGAGTGGTCAATCTAGTTTAAAGGTTTGAACAATCAACCCCTTTCTCTTTAAGTATATTTCAATTTCTACCTTTGATTTACTTTGATTTATTTTTTATTTATCTAAAATTCATAGATAAACAAATATATAATATATAAATATAAATTATAGTAATATGTAAATCGTTTGTATGTGAATGAATGTTTATATTAAAATATGATGTGTTTAAAATATGATTAGTTAAACGAGGGTTTTTTATATAATATTTTAGATAGATAAGGATAAAATAGTTAAATTACAAAAAAAAGTCATAAAAAAGTTGAACCATTGGAGAAACAATTTAATTAGAGGTGAATAAAAATAAAGTAGTGAAGTGACAATATTTTTGACCTATGATATAGGTTTACCATTGGAGATGCTCTAAGTCTCTAGTAAAATTGGTAGTCGAGGTGTAAACTTTTGAAGATGAGGACTTAAAACCACTAATTACATAAAAGATGAAATTGACCAAAAGTTGACTCATAATATATATATATATATATATATATATATATATATATATATATATATATATATATATATATAGCTATATATATATATATATATATATAATAGAGTTAGTAAGTGAAATGGTGTTCATTGTAAGAAATTTTGGATCTAGGATTACAAATTGTAACATTTATATTATAAGGATGCGACCTCTTCCCTTCTCATTCAGTTAGAATGTATCAGCCCTTTTCCAAGTTCTATCCATGGTGATTCTTCCTTTCCTAATGATGATTGAAGCTCCTTAATGATGTTATGAAGGTCTAACTCTTATTCTAGCATCTCCTATAGCAATTGAAGTTCAATTTTTTCTATAAATATCTAAATTCCACATTCTAGGGTTTTGACATTCAATCTCAAATTCGATTTCTAGATCTATTTCATGAATCATCATAGTTTTTGAATGATAATCTACTTCTAGATTAATTCTCAAATAATAACTTCATTCGTAGTTATGAGATGTGTGTTTTGATGAAGTTTGGGTTCAAAACCCTAGACCCCATAAGCAATCTGAATATTGTTAATATTAAGTGTTTTAGTTCGGATACTAATATCTGGTTAGTGTTCTAGAGCCCCATAGAGTCCCCATTTTCTCAATAGATGGTTGAATTTCACCTCTAATGGTGGATTTAAGATAAATCATGCCCTAACCTCATGAATAAGTTGTACCAATGCTTATATAGCTTGTACTTTATGTTCTAAACGATATGATGGTCATAGACTTAAGAGTTGATGGTGACATTGTTCTCAAATTTCAAAGAGGAGTTTGATCTAGGGTTTCCATGATGGGGTCGCTGTCATCGAGGCAACAACGGTGGATTAAGTAACGGAGGATCTGCTATAGTAACGGTCCAAAAATCACAAATCTAGAGTTGTCAACAAATCGCAGATCTTGTGGCTGTCATAAAATCTCTGGACGTCGAGTGATACATGTGGTGGTAGAGTAGATGCGATAGGAGATGTAGCAGTGGTGGAACATATTTTATACAAGGAGGTGTTGGTGGTTGTAGCGAAGTAGAAGTGGGAGGAGTGGGAGGAGGGCGTGGTGGTGGCGAAGCAGATATGAGATGCTGACCAGAAAAGGTTTGAAGCATTTAAGAGTTAGGTTTTTTCTTGATGGAGAGAGAAGTTTTAGTTTAGATCTGATTTAATTTTTATATGTAATGTAGGGGACTAAAAATGACAGTTGACAAACTTGCCTTTAAGATCATGAGTTGCTAAATGGTTCCTAGTCTCTATGAGTTCCTATTTAATCATTTCAATATATATATATATATATATATATATATATATATAATAATATATATATATATATATATATATAGAGAGAGAGAGAGAGAGAGAGAGAGAGGTAAGTTCAATTGAGAAAATAAAAAAGGTTGAGAATGAGGGAATCATTCTCAGCCACTTATTTAATCTAAGCATAAAAAGACATTGTGGCAAACTTGTAAATATGTTAATAACCTTTAATCTCAAATACGTAACTATAAAGAATTCGATAACAGTTCGTTCATCATGAAAATTTCTCCTCCAACCTTCAACAATCATCTAGATTTCTTCAACTAAACCACCATCAATTTGATCCGGTGTTAATCAATCATCGATATTCGTGGCTGGGAGGTTCGCCGTTCAAGATAGATTTGCAACCCAAATTCATCAATTTCATTGATTTCTTTGTTGAATACTCTGAATGTTCGTAGCTTGCAAGCATCTGTTAAAGTTCATAAGAGATTTGGAACTGGAATTTCCCATATTCGCAAACGAACTCAGTTGGAATCAGAATTTCTTCGATGTTCATGAAATTGCAATCGGAGTTCTGGACTCGCAGTCACAGTCGACATTGAAGGACTCAGAATCGATACTCACAGGTTCCCAATCGGATTTTCGGAAATCAAAATCAAAATGAGAAATCGATCAGACATAGGATGTCGCATCTGAAGTCGAAATCGGAAGTATATGATGATTTGGAATTGATAGCTTGAATTAGAAGTATCATGTTTTTAACATTTCTAAAATAGTTAAATTGTATGCACTCCAACTGTTTGATGAAATGCATAAACTAAATTACCACGTTATATTCACATATGAATATGTTTTCTCAAATGAATCAGTATATGATTATTAAAAACACAAAGCAAATATGCAAGTGTGTATGTTATTCATATGTGAATAACATATAAAAATTATATATATTTGTGAAAATACCTTCTAATATTCATAAGTGAATATATTCACAAGTGAATATACCTTGTAATATTTATATGTGAATATACTATGTAATATTCATAAATGAATATATCATCTAATATTCACAAGTGAATTGTCACACCCCGCTAAAGCGGAAACACAGGGCGTGGCAGTACAAAGGGTTTCATCGCAAAAGTTAAAAGACAACACCAACCATAGTATTTAAAAATCATTACAAATTCACAATGGGTTTGAACAACTTTTATAAGAAATTACAATGTAAATTGAAATACAACACATGCGAATGCTCCTAAAAGTGAAGTGTCCCTAAGTGCCACTTACTCGATCATTCCTGAAAAAGCATGTAAAACGAGCGTCAACTATAAAAATAGTTGGTGAGTACTCACAGATAAACAAAATAATATTGGTTCCATGAATTGAAATCAAAGTTTTGATAAAAATTTCCAATAATAAAAGTATATTGTTAAAATGAGTAAATAAGTTTGTAAAAACAAAGTTCTTTGTCATCATGAGAGATAAGGTATGTTGCCCAAATAAGATGCAACATTCATATTCTCATGGAAGATAAAGTTCGTTACTCAAACGAGTAAACAAGTTTCATTGCTAAAATGAGCAATCAATTTCGTTGCTACAAGGAGCAAACAATTTCATTGCTAAAACATGTATATAAGTTTTCAGTAATAAAAGTTCCTTG